GTTAATGTTGAGGGAAGCCAATCAGCGTCAAGGGGAGGACAGGAAATTATGTACGGGAAAGAATAAATTATGTTAATGTTGGGGAAGCCAATCAGCGTCAAGGGACGGACAGATGATGATGTTAGAGAAATAATAAATTATGCTAATGTAGAAACGTCGTGAGAAATTTTATTGTTGTATATTTTTATTATTTTATTGTTTCCTTACCTACGTGGTGGTGACTTTACCGAAAGAACCAAGAATAATAAAAATAAAGTTGATCAAACATAATAAAATATGACGACGTTTCTATCGCAACACAAACCACAGAATATTAATTCCTGCAGTCGCCAAAGTTTTAAGTAAAAAAAATTATCGATCGGCTCCATCGATCCGCAAATAAGCTCCTTCGATTCCACAGTCTTTTTCGATTCACAAATCGTCTACATCGATCCACAAATCGTCTTTTTAGATCCTCATGTCGCACTCCATCGATCCAAAATCGTCTCTATATCGATCCACTATTAATCGATTTTGATCCACAACTCGTCTCTATCGATCAAAAAATCGTTAGTTCACTCATTCACGCAGTAATTCCCTAAATCATTCACTCGCTCAGTCACTCTCACCGACTCACTCACCCACCCAACCACTCACTCACCCACTCACCCACCCAACCACTCACTCACCCACTCACCCACCCACTCACCCACCCACTCACCCACCCAACCACTCACTCACCCACTCACCCACCCAACCACTCAATCACCAACTCACCCATCCACTCACCCACTCACTTATCCATCCACCCACTCACTTACCCACTCACCCACCCACTCACCCACTCACTCACTCACCCACTCACCCACCCAACCACTCACTCACCCACTCACCCACCCACTCAATCACCAACTCACCCATCCACTCACTTACCCACTCACCCACCCACTCATCCACCCACCCACCCACTCACCCACTATCCACCCACCTACTCACTCACTCACCCACTAACTGACCCACCCACTCACTCAGTCACTCACCCACACGCCCACCCACCAACCCACTCACTCACCCACCCACTCACTCATCCACTGACCCACTCACTCACCTCACCCACTCACTCACTCACCCACCCACTCAATCACCAACTCACCCATCCACTCACCCACTCACTTACCCACTCACCCACCCACTCACCCACCCACTCACTCACCCACTATCCACCCACCTACTCACTCACCCACCCACTCACCCACTCACTCACCCACTCACTCATCCACTGACCCACTCACTCACCTCACCCACTCACTCACTCACCCACCCACTCAATCACCAACTCACCCATCCACTCACCCACTCACTTACCCACTCACCCACCCACTCACCCACCCACTCACTCACCCACTATCCACCCACCTACTCACTCACTCACCCACCCACTCACCCACTCACTCACCCACTCACACACCCACTCACCCAGCCACTCACCCAGCCACTCACCCACTCACTCACCCACTCACTCACCCACTCACCCACTCACTCACCCACTCACCCAGCCACTCACCCAGCCACTCACCCACTCACCCAGCCACTCACCCACTCACCCAGCCACTCACCCACTCACCCACTCACCCACCCACTCACCCAGCCACTCACCCACTCACCCAGCCACTCACCCACTCACCCACCCACTCACTTACCCACTCACTCACTCACCCACAGCTGAACACGTGATCAAAAAGCAGGAGGCACTTTAATAAGGGGGGGGGGGAGGGAGGGTTTGAGGGAGAGTGGGGGAGAGATACAAAGACGGCCGGGCGCTCTAACATATCAGCATCATCACAATTAACATATCGGCATCATCACAATTAACATATCATCATCACAATTAACATATCATCATCGTCACAATTAACATATAATCATCACAATTAACATATCAGCATCATCACAAGTAACTCATCATCACATCATCATCACATCATCATGACAAATGAAAGTGATTTTCCCCCACTCAAGTGAGCGTCGCAGAGGCAAATGAGCGTGACGCGACGCAATCGTAGTGGCAATTCCACGTTTCTATGACGGGGGCGCGAGCATACCCCACACAGCGGAGAGGCAGCAAATGGCGGAGTCTCGAGTTGGTGGGTGGGTGAGTGAGTGAGTGGGTGAGTGAGTGAGTGGGTGAGTGGGTGGGTGAGTGGGTGGGTGGGTGGGTGAGTGAGTGGGTGGGTGAGTGAGTGGGTGGGTGAGTGAGTGGGTGGGTGAGTGAGTGGGTGGGTGGGTGAGTGAGTGGGTGGGTGAGTGGGTGAGTGAGTGGGTGAGTGAGTGGGTGAGTAGGTGGGTGAGTGAGTGGGTGAGTGGGTGGGTGAGTGAGTGGGTGAGTGAGTGGGTGAGTGGGTGGGTGAGTGGGTGGGTGAGTGGGTGAGTGGATGGGTGAGTGAGTGGGTGAGTGAGTGGGTGAGTCAGTGAGTGGGTGAGTGAGTGAGTGGGTGAGTCAGTGAGTGGGTGAGTGAGTGAGTGAGTGGGTCAGTGAGTGGGTGAGTGAGTGGGTGATTGCGTGGGTGATTGCGTGGGTGAGTGAGTGGGCGAGTGGGTGAGTGGGTGGGTGAGTGAGTGGGTGAGTGGGTGAGTGAGTGGGTGAGTGAGTGAGTGGGTGGGTGAGTGAGTGAGTGGGTGAGTGGGTGGGTGAGTGAGTGGGTGAGTGGGTGAGTGAGTGGGTGAGTGATTGCGTGGGTGAGTGAGTGGGCGAGTGGGTGAGTGGGTGGGTGAGTGAGTGGGTGAGTGGGTGAGTGAGTGGGTGAGTGAGTGAGTGGGTGGGTGAGTGAGTGAGTGGGTGAGTGGGTGGGTGAGTGAGTGGGTGGGTGAGTGGTTGAGTGAGCGAGTGGTTGTTTGAGTGAGTGGGTGGGTGGATGAGTGGGTGGGTGGGTGAGTGGGTGGGTGGGTGAGTGGGTGAGTGGGTGGGTAAGTGAGTGGGTGGGTGAGTGGGTGAGTGAGTGGGTGAGTGAGTGGGTGGGTGAGTGGGTGGGTGAGTGGGTGGGTGAGTGAGTGGGTGGGTGAGTGAGTGGGTGGGTGAGTGGGTGAGTGGGTGGGTGAGTGAGTGGGTGGGTGTGTGAGTGGGTGGGTGAATGAGTGAGTGGGTGGGTGAGTGGGTGGGTGAGTGGGTGGGTGAGTGAGTGGGCGAGCGGATGGACCAGTCGTAAGTGGCAGGAGTCGGCCCTTTGTGAGTCCACCCACGATCTAATCCCACCGCTGAATCACTTTCATTCCAGCGAAACAGCAACAGACTCACACACAGGGACAGCTGTCACTGGGGGTGCCCCCTAGGCTACAGCACCACACAGCAGACTCACACACAGGGACAGCTGTCACTGGGGGTGTCCCCTAGGGCTACAGCACCACACAGCAACAGACTCACACACAGGGACAGCTGTCACTGGGGGTGTCCCCTAGGCTACAGCACCACACAGCAGACTCACACACAGGGACAGCTGCCACTGGGGGTGTCCCCCTAGGCTACAGCACCACACAGCAGACTCACACACAGGGACAGCTGCCACTGGGGGTGTCCCCTAGGGCTACAGCACCACACAGCAGACTCACACACAGGGACAGCTGTCACTGGGGGTGTCCCCCTAGGCTACAGCACCACACAGCAGACACACACAGGGACAGCTGTCACTGGGGGTGTCCCCTAGGCTACAGCACCACACAGCAGACACACAGGGACAGCTGCCACTGGGGGTGTCCCCTAGGGCTACAGCACCACACAGCAGACTCACACACAGGGACAGCTGCCACTGGGGGTGTCCCTAGGGCTACAGCACCACACAGCAGACTCACACACAGGGACAGCTGCCACTGGGGGTGTCCCTAGGGCTACAGCAGCACACAGCAGACTCACACACAGGGACAGCTGTCACTGGGGGTGCCCCCTTAGGCTACAGCACCACACAGCAGACTCACACACAGGGACAGCTGTCACTGGGGGTGCCCCCTAGGCTACAGCACCACACAGCAGACTCACACACAGGGACAGCTGTCACTGGGGGTGTCCCCTAGGGCTACAGCACCACACAGCAGCAGACTCACACACAGGGACAGCTGCCACTGGGGGTGACCCCTAGGCTACAGCACCACAATCTCGACGCACTCCTGATGGGTGATATTTGTCACTGTTTGTGAAGCTCCTTGTGCATACAATCACAAAGTGGTTCTGTATTTTAGCCACCCCTGGGTGTGGGGTTGGAGGGTGATAGGGTGGGTGGGTGGGGGGTGAGTGGGTGGGTGAGTGGGTGGGTGAGTGAGTGAGTGGGTGAGTGAGTGAGTGGGTGAGTGGGTGAGTGGGTGGGTGAGCGAGTGAGTGAGTGGTTGAGTGGTTGAGTGAGTGAGTGGGTGAGTGAGTGGTTGAGTGAGTGGGTGAGTGAGTGGATGAGTGAGTGGCTGAGTGAGTGGTTGAGTGAGTGTGTGAGTGGCTGAGTGGCTGAGTGAGTGAGCGAGTGGCTGAGTGGTTGAGTGAGTGAGTGGCTGAGTGAGTGGCTGAGTGGTTGAGTGGCTGAGTGAGTGGCTGAGTGGTTGAGTGAGTGAGTGAGTGGCTGAGTGGTTGAGCGAGTGAGTGGGTGAGTGAGTGGTTGAGTGAGTGGGTGAGTGAGTGGATGAGTGAGTGAGTGGCTGAGTGAGTGGCTGAGTGAGTGAGTAAGTGAGTGGTTGAGTGAGTGTGTGAGTGGCTGAGCGAGTGGGTGAGTGAGTGGGTGAGTGGCTGAGTGAATGAGTGGCTGAGTGAATGAGTGGCTGAGTGAGTGTATGAGTGAGTGGCTGAGTGGGTGAGTGGTTGAGTGAGTGGTTGAGTGAGTGGTTGAGTGAGTGTGTAAGTGGCTGAGTGAGTGGCTGAGTGAGTGGTTGAGTGAGTGAGTGGCTGAGTGAGTGGGTGAGTGGGTGAGTGGCTGAGAGTCTGAGTGGTTGAGTGGCTGAGTGAGTGGCTGAGTGGTTCAGTGGTTGAGTGAGTGGCTGAGTGAGTGAGTGGCTGAGTGAGTGAGTGGTTGAGTGAGTGTGTGAGTGGCTGAGTGGCTGAGTGGCTGAGTGAGTGGCTGAGTGGTTGAGTGAGTGAGAGGCTAACTCATTGCCCCGTGTGTTTGCGAGCACACGTGAAGCAGTAGATGCATTCCCCCACTGGGAAGCAGCCACGGTCCGGGGCGGATGAGAGTTGGAGTCCACAGTCCTGGACACAAACACAAAGATCCCCTCGTGATGTCAGTAGTAGCAGCACCCACACACAGACAAAGCTCCCCCAGGTAGCCTCTAGCAGGCTGTAGGGGCAAGAGCTGTCGGCAGTACCTACACACAGATAAAGCTCCCCCAGGTAGCCTCTAGCAGGCTGTAGGGGAAAGAGCTGTCAGTAGCAGCACCTACACACAGACAAAGATCCCCCGTGTAGCCTCTAGCAGGCTGTAGGGGCAAGTGCTGTTAGTAGTAGTAGCACCTACACACAGACAAAGCTCCCCCAGGTAGCCTCTAGCAGGCTGTAGGGGAAAGAGCTGTCAGTAGCAGCACCTACACACAGACAAAGATCCCCCGTGTAGCCTCTAGCAGGCTGTAGGGGCAAGTGCTGTCAGTAGTAGCAGCACCTACACACAGACAAAGCTCCCCCGTGTAGCCTCTAGCAGGCTGTAGGGGCAAGTGCTGTCAGTAGCAGCACCCACACACAGACAAAGCTCCCACAGGTAGTCTCTAGCAGGCTGTAGGGGCAAGTGCTGTCAGTAGTAGCAGCACCTACACACAGACAAAGCTCCCCCGTGTAGCCTCTAGCAGGCTGTAGGGGCAAGTGCTGTCAGTAGCAGCACCCACACACAGACAAAGCTCCCACAGGTAGTCTCTAGCAGGCTGTAGGGGCAAGTGCTGTCAGTAGCAGCACCTACACACAGACAAAGATCCCCCAGGTAGCCTCTAGCAGACTGTAGGGGCAAGTGCTGTTAGTAGTAGCAGCACGTACACACAGACAAAGGTCCCCCAGGTAGCCTCTAGCAGGCTGTAGGGGCAAGTGCTGTCAGTAGTAGCAGCACCTACACACAGACAAAGATCCCCCAGGTAGACTCTAGCAGGCTGTAGGGGCAAGAGCTGTCAGTAGTAGCAGCACCTACACACAGACAAAGATCCCCCAGGTAGACTCTAGCAGGCTGTAGGGGCAAGTGCTGTTAGTAGCACCTACACACAGACAAAGATCCCCCAGGTAGCCTCTAGCAGGCTGTAGGGGCAAGTGCTGTTAGTGAGTAGCAGCACCTACACACAGACAAAGCTCCCCCAGGTAGCCTCTAGCAGGCTGTAGGGGCAAGAGCTGTCGGCAGTACCTACACACAGATAAAGCTCCCCCAGGTAGCCTCTAGCAGGCTGTAGGGGAAAGAGCTGTCAGTAGCAGCACCTACACACAGACAAAGATCCCCCGTGTAGCCTCTAGCAGGCTGTAGGGGCAAGTGCTGTTAGTAGTAGTAGCACCTACACACAGACAAAGCTCCCCCAGGTAGCCTCTAGCAGGCTGTAGGGGCAAGTGCTGTCAGTAGCAGCAGCACCTACACACAGACAAAGATCCCCCGTGTAGCCTCTAGCAGGCTGTAGGGGCAAGTGCTGTCAGTAGTAGCGAGTAGCAGCACCAACACACAGACAAAGATCCCCCAGGTAGCCTCTAGCAGGCTGTAGGGGCAAGTGCTGTCAGTAGCACCTACACACAGACAAAGATCCCCCGTGTAGCCTCTAGCAGGCTGTAGGGGCAAGTGCTGTTAGTGAGTAGCAGCACCTACACACAGACAAAGATCCCCCGTGTAGCCTCTAGCAGGCTGTAGGGGCAAGTGCTGTTAGTAGTAGTAGCACCTACACACAGACAAAGCTCCCCCAGGTAGCCTCTAGCAGGCTGTAGGGGCAAGTGCTGTCAGTAGCAGCAGTACCTACACACAGACAAAGATCCCCCGTGTAGCCTCTAGCAGGCTGTAGGGGCAAGTGCTGTTAGTGAGTAGCAGCACCTACACACAGACAAAGCTCCCCCAGGTAGCCTCTAGCAGGCTGTAGGGGCAAGTGCTGCTAGTAGTAGCAGCACCTACACACAGACAAAGCTCCCCCAGGTAGCCTCTAGCAGGCTGTAGGGGCAAGTGCTGTTAGTGAGTAGCACCTACACACAGACAAAGATCCCCCGTGTAGCCTCTAGCAGGCTGTAGGGGCAAGTGCTGTTAGTGAGTAGCAGCACCTACACACAGACAAAGATCCCCCAGGCAGCCTCTAGCAGGCAGTAGGGGCAAGTGCTGTTAGTAGCAGCACCTACACACAGACAAAGATCCCCCGTGTAGCCTCTAGCAGGCTGTAGGGGCGAGTGCTGTCAGCAGCACCTACACACAAAGCTCCCCCAGGTAGCCTCTAGCAGGCTGTAGGCGCAAGTGCTGTTAGTAGTAGCAGCACCTACACACAGACAAAGCTCCCCCAGGTAGCCTCTAGCAGGCTGCAGGGGCAAGTGCTGTCAGTAGCAGCACCTACACACAAATATCCCCCAGGTAGCCTCTAGCAGGCTGTAGGGGCAAGTGCTGTTTGTAGTAGCAGCACCTACACACAGACAAAGCTCCCCCAGGTAGCCTCTAGCAGGCTGTAGGGGCAAGTGCTGTTAGTGGTAGCGATGGCCGACTTGACCCCCCCCCCCCCCCACACAAGATGGCCAAATTGACATCGTATCCCCACGCAAGATGGCCGAATTGACATCACCTCCCCACGCAAGATGGCCGAATTGACATACCCTCCCCACGCAACATGGCCGACTTGACATCGCCTCCCCACACAAGATGGCCGACTTGACATCGCCTCCCCACACAAGATGGCCGAATTGACATCGCCTCCCCACGCAACATGGCCGACTTGACATCGCCTCCCCACACAAGATGACCGACTTGACACCGCCTCCCCACACAAGATGGCCGAATTGACATACCCTCCCCACGCAAGATGGCCGAATTGACATCGCCTCCCCACGCAAGATGGCCGAATAAACATACCGTCCCCACACAAGATGGCCGAATTGACATCGCCTCCCCACACAATATGGCCGACTTGACATACCCTCCCCACACAAGATGGTCGAATTGACACCCCCCACCTCGCCCTGATTGTGTCAACGTGGCACCGATGTCATCATCATCCAAATGATTCCACATCGATGTTGCACCGGCGATGGTGGTGATGGTGGTGATGATGGTGGTGGTGGTGATGATGGTGGTGATGGTGGTGGTGGTGATGGTGATGGTGGTGATGATGATGGTGATGATGGTAGTGATGATGATGGTGATGATGATGAAGGTGATGATGATGGTGATGATGATGGTGATGATGGTGATGATGGTGGTGATGATGGTGGTGATTGTGGTGATGATGATGTTGATGGTGGTGATGATGGTGATGATGATGGTGGTGATGGTGGTGATGATGATGATGGTGATGATGATGATGGTGATGATGATGAAGGTGATGATGATGATGAAGGTGATGATGATGATGAAGGTGATGATGATGATGAAGGTGATGATGATGATGAAGGTGATGATGATGATGATGAAGGTGATGATGATGATGAAGGTGATGATGATGATGAAGGTGATGATGATGATGGTGATGATGGTGATGATGATGATGAAGGTGATGATGATGATGATGGTTATGATGATGGTGATGATGATGGTGATGATGATGATGGTGATGATGATGGTGATGATGGTGGTGATGATGATGAAGGTGATGATGATGGTGATGATGATGAAGGTGATGATGATGATGGTGATGATGATGATGGTGATGATGGTGGTTATGGTGGTGATGGTGATGATGATGATGGTGATGATGGTGGTTATGGTGGTGATGGTGATGATGATGGTGATGGTGGTGATGATGGTGATGATGATGGTGGTGATGGTGATGATGGTGGTGGTGATGATGGTGGTGATGATGGTGGTGGTGATGATGGTGGTGGTGATGATGGTGGTGGTGATGATGGTGGTGGTGATGATGGTGACGATGGTGGTGATGGTGATGATGGTGGTGGTGGTGATGGTGGTGGTGATGGTGGTGGTGGTGATGGTGGTGATGGTGATGGTGGTGATGATGATGGTGATGATGGTAGTGATGATGATGGTGATGATGATGGTGATGATGATGATGAAGGTGATGATGATGGTGATGATGATGGTGATGATGGTGATGATGGTGATGATGGTGGTGATTGTGGTGATGATGATGTTGATGGTGGTGATGATGGTGATGATGATGGTGGTGATGGTGGTGATGATGATGAAGGTGATGATGATGATGAAGGTGATGATGATGATGAAGGTGATGATGATGATGATGAAGGTGATGATGATGATGAAGGTGATGATGATGAAGGTGATGATGATGATGGTGATGATGGTGATGATGATGATGAAGGTGATGATGATGATGATGATGGTGGTGGTGATGATGGTGGTGATGGTGATGATGATGGTGATGATGGTGGTGGTGATGATGGTGATGGTGGTGATGGTGGTGGTGATGATGGTGATGGTGATGATGATGATGAAGGTGATGATGATGGTGATGATGATGATGGTGATGATGAAGGTGATGATGATGATGGTTATGATGATGGTGATGATGATGGTGATGATGATGATGGTGATGATGATGATGGTGATGATGATGGTGATGATGGTGGTGATGATGATGAAGGTGATGATGATGATGGTGATGATGACGATGGTGATGATGGTGGTTATGGTGGTGATGGTGATGATGATGGTGATGATGGTGGTTATGGTGGTGATGGTGATGATGATGGTGATGGTGGTGATGATGGTGATGATGATGGTGGTGATGGTGATGATGGTGGTGGTGATGATGGTGGTGATGATGATGGTGGTGGTGATGATGGTGGTGGTGATGATGGTGGTGGTGATGATGGTGGTGATGGTGATGATGGTGGTGATGGTGATGATGGTGGTGGTGATGATGGTGGTGGTGATGATGGTGGTGGTGATGATGGTGATGATGATGGTGATGATGGTGGTGATGATGGTGGTGATGATGGTGGTGATGATGGTGGTGATGATGGTGGTGATGATGGTGGTGATGATGGTGATGATGATGGTGATGATGATGATGGTGATGATGATGATGGTGATGATGGTGATGATGATAAAGGTGATGATGATGGTGATGATGAAGGTGATGATGATGGTGGTGATGATGATGATGGTGATGATGGTGATGATGATGGTGATGATGGTGATGATGGTGGTGATGATGATGATGAAGGTGATGATGATGATGGTGATGATGATGGTGATGATGATGATGGTGATGATGATGATGGTGATGATTGTGATGATGACGATGGTGATGATGATGGTGATGGTGGTGATGGTGATGATGATGATGGTGGTGATGATGGTGGTGATGGTGATGATGGTGATGATGGTGGTGATGGTGATGATGATGGTGATGGTGGTGATGGTGATGATGGTGGTGGTGGTGATGATGGTCGTGATGGTGATGATGGTGGTGGTGATGATGGTGGTGGTGATGATGGTGATGATGATGGTGATGATGGTGGTGATGATGGTGGTGATGATGGTGATGATGATGATGATGGTGGTGGTGATGATGGTGGTGGTGATGATGGTGGTGGTGGTGATGGTGATGATGATGGTGATGATGTGATGGTGATGATGTTTGGGCCATCACCTGGCAACAGAAGCAGTGAGGATGGAAGTGTTTGTCCAGGATCACGAGGTGGAGAGACTTCTCCTGGCCTGGCGACGGAGCGATCGGCTCATGGCAACCAGCACAGCGTGGCGAGTAGAGCCTGGTGGTGACACGTGGAGTGCAGTACAACACTCAATCTGCTGCTGGTGGTGAGCGTGGTGACAGTGGTGGTGGTGGTGAGCGTGGTGGTGGTGTCGTGGTGGTGGTGGTGAGCGTGGTGGTGGTGTCGTGGTGGTGGTGAGCGTGGTGGTGGTGGTGGTGATGGTGGTGGTAGTGGTGGTGAGCGTGGTGGTGGTAGTGGTGGTGAGCGTGGTGGTGGTGGTGGTGGTGAGCGTGGTGGTGGTGGTGAGAGTGGTGGTGGTGAGAGTGGTCGTGGTGGTGAGAGTGGTAGTGGTGAGCGTGGTGGTGGTGGTGGTGAGCGCTAGTGGTGGTGGTGAGTGTGGTGGTGGTGGTGAGCGTGGTGGTGAGTGTAGTGGTGAGCGTGGTGAGCGTGGTGGTGAGCTTACCGGTGGTAATCGGGGAGACAGAGTGGACGTGGTGGTGGTGGTGGTGGTGAGTGTAGTGGTGAGAGTGGTGAGCGTGGTGGTGGTGAGCGTGGTGACAGTGGTGGTGGTGGTGAGCTTACCGGTGATAATCGGGGAGACAGAGCGGATGTGGTGGTGGTGGTGTGGTGAGCGTGGTGGTGAGCGTAGTGGTGAGTGTAGTGGTGAGCGTGGTGGTGGTGAGCGTGGTGGTGGTGAGCTTACCGGTGATAATCGGGGAGACATAGTGGACGTGGCGGTGGTGGTGGTGGTGGTGTTGTTGTGGTGGTGGTGGTGGTGGTGGTGAGCGTGGTGGTGGTGAGCGTGGTGGTGGTGTGGTAGTGGTGGTGGTGGTGAGCGTGGTGGTGGTGGTGAGCGTGGTGGTGGTGAGCTCACCGGTGATAATCGGGGAGACATAGCGGACGTGGCGGTGGTGGTGGTGTTGTTGTTGTTGTGGTGATCGATGGCTCGCCGGAGCTGGGAGCCATCGCGATGGCTTGGTCCAGCAGAGAGGCACCGCACTCGGAGCAGACGAGGCAGTGGGGATGGAAGGGAAACTCACCGGCCCTCACCACTCGCTCCCTCACCAGCTCACCACACGACACGCACACCTCGAGCTGAGCCTGCAGACAGAGGGAGACGCTCACCAACACGCTCACCAACACGCTCACCACTACACTCACCAACACGCTCACCAACACGCTCACCACCACACTCACCGCTACACGCTCACCAACACGCTCACCAACACGCTCACCACTACACTCACCAACACGCTCACCAACACGCTCACCACTACACTTACTAGTACACTACTACACTCACCACTACACTCACCACTACACTCACCACTCGCTCCCTCACCAGCTCACCACACGACACGCACACCTCGAGCTGAGCCTGCAGACAGAGGGAGACGCTCACCAACACGCTCACCACTACACTACTACACTCACCACCACACTCACCACTACACTACTACACTACTACACTCACTAGTACACCACTACACTCACTAGTACACCACTACACTCACCACTACACTCACTAGTACACCACTACACTCACCACTACACTCACTAGTACACTACTACACTCACCAACACGCTCACCACTACACTCACCACTACACCACTACACTCACCACTACACTCACCACTACACTACTACACTCACCAACACGCTCACCACCACACTAGTACACTACTACACTCACTAGTACACTACTACACTCACTAGTACACCACTACACTCACCACCACGCTCACCACTACACTCACCACTACACTCACCACTCGCTCCCTCACCAGCTCACCACACGACACGCACACCTCGAGCTGAGCCTGCAGACAGAGGGAGACGCTCACCAACACGCTCACCACTACACTCACCACTACACTCACTAGTACACTACTACACTCACTAGTACACCACTACACTACTACACTCACTAGTACACCACTACACTCACTAGTACACCACTACACTCACCACTACACTCACTAGTACACCACTACACTCACCAACACGCTCACCAACACGCTCACCACTACACTCACCAACACGCTCACCACCACGCTCACCGCCACACCACTACACTCACCACCACGCTCACCACTACACTCACCACCATGCTCACCGCCACACTACTACACTCACCACCACACTCACTAGTACACTACTACACTCACTAGTACACTACTACACTCACTACTACACTCACCACTACACTCACCACTACACTCACCACTACACTCACCACTCGCTCCCTCACCAGCTCACCACACGACACGCACACCTCGAGCTGAGCCTGCAGACAGAGGGAGACGCTCACCAACACGCTCACCAACACGCTCACCAACACGCTCACCAACACGCTCACCAACACGCTCACCACCACACTCACCGCTACACTCGCCACTACACTCACTAGTACACCACTACACTCACCACCACGCTCACCGCTACACTATTACACTCACCACCACGCTCACTACTACACCACTACACTCACTACTACACTCACTAGTACACTACTACACTCACCACCACGCTCACCGCTACACTATTACACTCACCACCACGCTCACTACTACACCACTACACTCACCACTACACTCACCACTACACCACTACACTCACCACTCGCTCCCTCACCAGCTCACCACACGACACACACACCTCGAGCTGAGCCTGCAGACAGAGGGAGACGCTCACCAACACGCTCACCAACACGCTCACCACTACACTCACCACTACACTCACCACCACGCTCACCACTACACTCACCACTACACTCACCACTCGTTCCCTCACCAGCTCACCACACGACACGCACACCTCGAGCTGAGCCTGCAGACAGAGGGAGACGCTCACCAACACGCTCACCAACACGCTCACCACTACACTCACCAACACGCTCACCACTACACTACTACACTACTACACTCACCACTACACTCACTAGTACACTCACCACTACACTCACCACTACACTACTACACTAGTACACTACTACACTACTACACTCACTACTACACTCACCACTACACTCACCACTCGCTCCCTCACCAGCTCACCACACGACACACACACCTCGAGCTGAGCCTGCAGACAGAGGGAGACGCTCACCAACACGCTCACCAACACGCTCACCAACACGCTCACCAACACGCTCACCGCTACACTCACCAACACGCTCACCAACACGCTCACCAACACGCTCACCACCACACTCACCGCTACACTCGCCACTACACTCACTAGTACACCACTACACTCACTAGTACACCACTACACTACTACACTCACTAGTACACCACTACACTCACCACTACACTCACTAGTACACCACTACACTCACCACTACACTACTACATTACTACACTCACTAGTACACTACTACACTCACCACTACACTACTACACTACTACACTCACTAGTACACCACTACACTCACCACTACACTACTACACTACTACACTCACTAGTACACTACTACACTCACCACTACACTACTACACTACTACACTCACTAGTACACCACTACACTCACCACTACACTACTACACTCACCACTACACTCACCACTCGCTCCCTCACCAGCTCACCACACGACACGCACACCTCGAGCTGAGCCTGCAGACAGAGAGAGACGCTCACCAACACGCTCACCAACACGCTCACCACTACACTCACCACTACACTCACCAACACGCTCACCGCCACACTCACCACTACACTCACCACTACACTCACCACTCGCTCCCTCACCAGCTCACCACACGACACACACACCTCGAGCTGAGCCTGCAGACAGAGGGAGATGCTCACCAACACGCTCACCAACACGCTCACCACCACACTCACCGCTACACTCGCCACTACACTCACTAGTACACCACTACACTCACTAGTACACCACTACACTACTACACTCACTAGTACACTACTACACTCACTAGTACACTACTACACTCACTACTACACTCACCACCACGCTCACCACTACACTACTACACTCACCACTCGCTCCCTCACCAGCTCACCACACGACACGCACACCTCGAGCTGAGCCTGCAGACAGAGGGAGATGCTCACCAACACGCTCACCACTACACTACTACACTCACCAACACGCTCACCACTACACTACTACACTACTACACTCACCACTCCACTCACTAGTACACTAGTACACTACTACACTCACTAGTACACTACTACACTCACTACTACACTCACTAGTACACTACTACACTCACCACCACACTCACCACTACACTCACCGCTACACTCACCACTACACTCACCACTCGCTCCCTCACCAGCTCACCACACGACACACACACCTCGAGCTGAGCCTGCAGACAGAGGGAGACACTCACCAACACGCTCACCAACACGCTCACCAACATGCTCACTACTACACTCACCACCACACTCACCACTACACTCACCACTACACTACACCACTACACTCACCACTACACTCACCACTACACTCACTAGTACACCACTACACTCACCACTACACTCACCACTACCCTCACCACTACACTCACTAGTACACTCACCACTACCCTCACCACTACACTCACTAGTACACTACTACACTCACCACTACACTCACCACTACACTCACTAGTACACCACTACACTCACTACTACACTCACCACTACCCTCACCACTACACCACTACACTCACCACTACACCACTACACTCACCACTACACTCACCACTACACTCACCACTACACCACTACACTCACCACTACACTCACCACTACACTCACCACTACACCACTACACTCACCACTACACTCACCACTACACCACTACACTCACCACTACACTCACCACTCGCTCCCTCACCAGCTCACCACACGACACACACACCTCTAGCTGAGCCTGCAGACAGAGGGAGACGCTCACCAACACGCTCACCACCACGCTCACCAACACGCTCACCACTACACTTACTAGTACACTACTACACTCACCAACACGCTCACTACCACGCTCACCACCACGCTACTACACTCACTACTACACTACTAGTACACTACTACACACACCACTACACTCACTAGTACACTACTACACTCACTAGTACACTCACTAGTACACCACTACACTCACTAGTACACTACTACACTCACCACTACACTCACTACTACGCTCACCACCACGCTCACCACCATGCTCACTAGTACACCACTACTACACTCACCACTACACTCACTAGTACACTACTACACTCACTAGTACACTCACTACTACACTCACTAGTACACTACTACACTCACCACTACACTCACCACTACACTCACCACTACGCTCCCTCACCAGCTCACCACACGACACACACACCTCGAGCTGAGCCTGCAGACAGAGGGAGACACTCACCAACACGCTCACCAACACGCTCACCACTACACTACTACACTCACCAACACGCTCACCACCACGCTCACCAACACACTCACCACTACACTCACCACCACACTCACCACCACACTCACCACCACACTAGTACACTACTACACTCACCGCTACACTCACCACCACGCTCACCACTACACTACTACACTCACCGCTACACTCATCACCACGCTCACCGCCACGCTCACCGCTACACTCACCAGTACACTCACTACTACACTCACCAGTACACTCACTAGTACACTACTACACTCACCACTACACTCACTAGTACACTACTACACTCACCACTACACTCACCACTCCACTCACCACCTCACTCACCAGCCCTCACCAGTGTGTAGTGTAGTGTGTAGTGTATAGTAGTGTAGTGTATAGTGTAGTGTGTAGTAGTGTAGTGTGTAGTGTAGTGTGTAGTGTATAGTAGTGTAGTGTATAGTGTAGTGTGTAGTAGTGTAGTGTGTAGTGTAGTGTGTAGTGTATAGTAGTGTAGTGTATAGTGTAGTGTAGTGTGTAGTGTAGTGTGTAGTGTATAGTAGTGTATAGTGTAGTGTATAGTAGTGTAGTGTATAGTAGTGTAGTGTATAGTGTAGTAGTGTAGTGTGTAGTGTAGTGTGTAGTGTATAGTAGTGTAGTGTATAGTGTAGTGTGTAGTGTAGTGTGTAGTGTATAGTAGTGTATAGTGTAGTGTATAGTAGTGTAGTGTATAGTAGTGTAGTGTATAGTGTAGTGTATAGTGTAGTGTATAGTGTATAGTAGTGTATAGTGTAGTGAATAGTAGTGTAGTGTATAGTGTATAGTAGTGTATAGTGTATAGTAGTGTATAGTAGTGTAGTGTATAGTGTAGTGTATAGTGTAGTGTATAGTGTAGTGTATAGTAGTGTATAGTGTAGTGAATAGTAGTGTAGTGTATAGTAGTGTAGTGTATAGTGTATAGTAGTGTATAGTGTAGTGTATAGTAGTGTAGTGTATAGTAGTGTATAGTGTAGTGTATAGTAGTGTAGTGTATAGTAGTGTATAGTGTAGTGTATAGTAGTGTATAGTAGTGTAGTGTATAGTAGTGTAGT